CGGAGCACCTCCGTCGTCCGACACGTCCAGAGACTCTTCGTTGCTGCTGGGCTTGGCCAGGCCTTGCTCGATCGCCACTTTGCCGGCTTCGGTCGCCTTCCACGCCAACACTTCGGTGGCGAGCGTGGCGCGCTCGTCGTTGCTGAGCTGCATCGCCGCAGCCGACGTCGCGGCGAGGGCCATCGTGACAAAGGCGGTCTTCATGGTGTAGTGGTGGTAGTGGTGTCGGAGACGACGCGAGTTGGAAAATGAGTCGATACTTGACACGCAAGGTCGCGCGCGAGGCGCCTCGAGTGCGCGATGCCGTCGTGCGATCCGTGGTGCGCAAGACAGGGCTAGGGTTCAGCTGCCGTCTGAGCCTGGTGGTCTGAGTCGAGGAAACCAGATTGAGATACCGGTACGATCGAGGGCCACAACGGTCTTAGTCAAGGATAGTTCGTCAGGTGGTAGAACTGTGCTATGTCCATGACGATCGTACTTGCCATGCGCGTGTTTTTACTTGTGGCATCTTGATCTGACGGGCTCAGACTAACGTCTGAGTAGCGTTTTACATGTAATCGATGTATTGAAATCGAGTTTGAATTAACCCGTTCGGACGTGCAGATTTTCTAACAGTAAATGCAGGAATCGTGCATTTAGAGAGGACTAATCAAATCATCGCATTTCCCGACGCGTCACCATATCTGGCGAGTCAAAAACGGGGACTTTTGACACGAAGTCGGCGTCATAGACTGCCTCATAGGCAGACAGCTAATGAAGAACGGTCACAAGTGCTGGGCATGCGTTACGCATGTTATACCGGTTCCGATATTTAGACTCCAGTCAACACGGCTGCCATTGGTCAATTGCATCACCTAGAATAGTCTTCGGACGCTGCCCACCGTCCATTGTGTGCACGCTCTACTTTGCAACGCAGAAATTTTATGCATTCAATCAAGTTCGTGGCTATCGTCCTTGCGCTTCTTCGCCGCCGGGCCAACCATGCTTGCCTTGAGCTTGTACAAAGCCGACTTCTTGTTCTGTCTGCCGTTGGTCTTCTGGAAGACGTCGTGCTGAAGGTAGAACTCGTGGTACTTCTTCCAGCACGGCCAATCGACGTTGGGGCACTCGTACGGCTCGGCTTCGCGGTTGGAATCTTGCGGTATGCTGCAAAGGTTGACTTGGTGGAACTGGCAGTGCACCGTCTTCTGCTTGCGGGTAGAGCGCTCGTAAGTGCAGACGATGCAGTTGCGCTTGTTGGCGTTCGTTGGAAACACGTGCTTGCTGTCGACAAAGCTGCAAGATGCTGCAGGAAGAGGCGACGACACAACGGCCTCTACCGCGGCGACTTCCGTCGCATTGTGGGTAGCTTTCCGCTTGCGGCCTTGATTGCTTTCTTCCACGGTTGGCATTGGCGCGTCCGAGTATGGAATATGGACGTCGCTGACGAGGCTACGTTGTCAGCGGTAACGTCAGCGAAAGACAGCATGTGAAGTACTACGTAGTAAATGCGTTGTACATGTACCTTTCCCAACTCACTTCGAATGGCCGAGCAGCTCGGCCATTGGCTTTTTGTGGCCCTGCAAGCGACAAAGTCGTGTGTCACGCTCACCGAATTTTTTGATTGGCTCCCCTAAATGCAGAATTCCTGCATTTAGAGCGTGATAAAATAAATAGATCGTTAAAAGGTCTTAAAAGTGGTGCTTCGTGGCAAAAAAAATATTGCCGACTTCTAAATGCAGAAATCCTGCATTTAGAGATGAAGTATACTTTAATTAAGTCTATTTTTAATATAGAAACGTATCGGAAATTTTCACGTCCGATCGGGTTAACACGTTCTCCGATTGAAGCTTGGTTTGGCGTTCAGTGGGATGTTGAGCTGTTGAGTTTGCCGCATCCGGTACATGCGAAGGTTGCACATGGTAAGAGTATCTGTCGGTTTTGTGTGGCAGAACATGAAGCTTCCCCTGGATCTTCTACTTATTTTCTGAGGTTTTTCTCAATGAGCATGTAAGTTGAATTGTGCCACGCCGACTTCGCAAATTCTACATACTATTATGCCAAAGGGAATATTGGTTCACAAACGGTCAAGATGTATCCAGTATTGCTCGCCAAGCGTCGTTCTAGTTGGTATCCTAGCCAATCGTTGGTAGCTTTTCGGATCGAGTAGAGCCCATTGCACTGTATGGTATGGTAACCAGAAGCCCCGTTTATGTTCGCCAGTCAAATGCTGAAGAATCTGAACCAGTCGTAAATTTCCGGCACTGTTGTATGATTTACGCGTACCACATGCCCCGCGGTGCGCTGGTTGGTCGACCATGACGTCGACGACGAGGCCATCGCGCCGCGAGAGACTCCCCCTTATACAACAAATGTTCTCGGACTCAGATGCAAGCCCACCTACTCAGACGCAGACGTCTATAGTCCCACTTGTGAACCTTCTTTTGCTTGTTCCTTGGAACGGTGACGTGCTTGGGTCAGGATTCAATACCGTGATCCGACCACGTTAGCAACTGAGGATGGGTGGAATACGACCTCTGTTCATACACATGCCTGCGGTAGACAGTCAGTTAGTTGTCATACCGGTAGGCTCGGCTAAAAGACCAACCGCTGTATACACTCTTAATGGGCCTATATTAGCCCAGGAGTGCGCAGGACATTTTTCGACCAGAGATGTGATTCCCGTCGCTCGAGTCAACGCCCTCGACATATCACGGCAGACTGTTTTTCATCGGTGACAACCGCGGATGCGCGCCAGCAAACATCACCAAGGAAATTCTCTGCACGCAACAAGATTGCTTTTGCGCGAAACATACCACAGTCAAACAATAGGGCAGGGAGACGCCCAACCAGCGTGCATTACACTGTACAACTGCAACAGTATAAAGAGCAATCCCGAAAGCCTTCGTTTAATGCGGTCAAACGAACAATCACAAAATAGCCTCCCTTTCACTCGTGTACATGTATGCACACATTTTGTGAATTCCAATCTGGTTTTATCCACTCCTGCCAAAAGCCAAAAGCCACAATTTCTGGGTCATGTAGCACATCAATACGCACGCCCCACCACAAACATCATCCAATCCAATGTTCCTCTACTTACCTTCGTAATCTGATTCTGTTTCCTCGACTCAGACATACATGTCCCGTATTCAAGCCCTACCCCTTTCTTGCGCACCACGGATCGCACGACGGCATCGCGCACTCGAGGCGCCTCGCGCGCGACCTTGCGTGTCAAGTATCGACTCATTTTCCAACTCGCGTCGTCTCCGACACCACTACCACCACTACACCATGAAGACCGCCTTTGTCACGATGGCCCTCGCCGCGACGTCGGCTGCGGCGATGCAGCTCAGCAACGACGAGCGCGCCACGCTCGCCACCGAAGTGTTGGCGTGGAAGGCGACCGAAGCCGGCAAAGTGGCGATCGAGCAAGGCCTGGCCAAGCCCAGCAGCAACGAAGAGTCTC